TTAATTTTCTTACATGCAATGAAGTGCGTCTTCCAATTAAGTCATTGAAATTTTTAATTTAACCACAACTCATCTATTATGTGGGTAATATATATATACCCCCGAGCAAAATAAGTTGTACACCTTTTTTTTTCGATTATTTCTCCATACTATTGTCATTTAATCTCAAATTTATACTATAAATAGATCTTTGATTGCTTAATGTACTCTGAAAATTTCAGCCTTATAGAATGTGAATTCGTTGAGAAAAGTACAAAATTGTCTCATGTACTCATATGTCAATGTAACGAAAATTTGCTGTTTTCTTGCTAAACTTTTTTTTTTGTTTTCAAAAACATTAACCTTTAATGAATGAATCCGCTTCCACATGTTTCTTCTTAGTGTTTTGCGAAGGAATCTATCCAAAAAGCCCGTAACGGTACAAAAAAAAATCGGAAAAACCTAATTCATGTGTCAAAGGTTAATGTTTTTGAAAACAGAAAAAAAACAAAATTTAGCAAGAAAACAACAAATTTTCTTTACATTGATACATGAGTACATGAGACATTTTTCTAGTTTTCTCAATGAATTCACATTCAATAAGGCTGAAATTTTCAGAGTATATTAAGAAATCAAAGATCTATTTGTGGTATGAATTTGAGGTTAAATGACAATAGTACGGAGAAATAATCGAAAAAACAAGGTGTACAACTTATTTTGCTACAGGGGATATACAAGTAACGCTCGTCTGTGTGACTCGCTTGACCCTCGACTGAATATTCAGCTATTCTGGTATTATATACTGCTTCGCAGTCCTCAACACAGCTAGTATCAAACGTTTGAAAATGGTGCATGTGGATATGAATATTGACATTCGCATCAATGTCCTTGTCTACGATGATATGCGTGTTTCTGTGATACGTTTTTTTATAAATTCATCCAACCAACCTGAGGCGCACACAATAATATCCAACATAAAATCTAAATGAACAACACTAAGGCAACAGTATCCACATGCCCCGAGAAAAGAGACTACATTTAATATACCGAGAGACAATCTAAAAAGAAAGCACATCCACGACACTAGCGTAAAAACGCATCATACTTCTTGAAAAATAATAAAAACCCGTATAGTTACATGCACATCAATCGACAATATCATTTGCTAATGTCCACTACAAAAACATATATTTAGCTGAACTTTTAGATTAAAATTAAATCATATTTGATCAGACTTATTCTCGGAATACGCCACTTGAACGACGCTCGTACTCCAAGTAGTCATCGGATTAGACAGATAATTTCAAAATGATCGAATAAATTTAGACGAGTAAATGCACACAGACACGAACACATAATGAGAGAAAAGCTAATTTTATTTCATTCAAATCTACTTCGAATGGACTGAAATAAATTCTTCGCACGACTTTTTCCGTCGAATGTCCTATTCAAATGCTGCACACGTGCAGCACAACTGTTCTCACATTTCATTCAAAAATACCTGTTAATCTTTTGGTCAGTTCTGGTTTCTATTGAACTCGCCAGATCTGAACCGTAGACATTTTCCCGATGGATCGCAACAACGTGAAGAATACCTTGAGAGAATTTCGCAGAGTAGCAGCTAGTCAGTCATCGGCACTCCTTCGGGACGCTACTCGCAGCTAGCCGCTGCCATGCTTAATTCCATTCTGGCATAAGATCATCCTCTTTGATTTACACACTCTCTCTCTGATTCTATATTGCGCTTAATTGCAAAAGCCATTAGAATTATAACATGAGAATTTCCATGAGAATTTTCAAAGCTGAAACTTTCTTGTAAACTATTCCTTATGTCTTTAATTTCATTGTCGAGCTAGCCAATCAGAGGTTCACTTAAATTCCTCACTAAGAGAATCTTAGCGTAGTATTCTCCAAAAAAACACTAGCCTTTATATAGATCATTTCTGAAGCGAATCAACAGTGAACCTGAAATATGAGCGACTAGTTGTTCGTCGCTACCTCTCTAGGGTGTCACTCACGGCTAGTCGCTTCATTATTGGAAAGCACCTAAGCAACAGCTAGTTATTCTCTTTTAAACATAAAAAAAATGTGATATCATTTTTATATATTTGTTTATATTACCTTCTTTGAGTCATAGTGGCGAGAAATTCCTTGAGTCAGAACTTCTGCTGAAAAAAAAAATGCGAATAATGCAATACTAACCCAGAAAAAACACAATGCGAGCAGGCTCATACCAAAGTATGTGCCTGAGTGGGTAGATCTTGTTCTGCCCCATGCCCACACCATGAAAAAACGTGAGATATAGTTCACGTTAGTGAGTTTGTCGAGTCTGTAATCCCGGTAACACATTTGAATACGGTACTCTCTCAATCAATGCCAGATCACAAGCTCATTTTATTTCATACCACTCAATGGTCAGTGCACCGAAAACTCATTGTTTCCCTAAAAAACCTTACCCTGATGATAAAATTAAAGCTGTCCTAGTGCCCTCTTTCAAATATAGTGAAGTTAAACTGAATATTCTTTTCTTGTTTTCTGTTCTTAAAGATGCAGTTTATTCATTGATTGTCATGCCATATCAGCGAGGAAGTACGTATATCGCTGCATCTTGTATCATATTGACCTTGACAGACAAATAATATGTGGCGTACAACGTGTGCTAGGAAAAAAGGTGGCATTTTTTTTTGCTGCAATGTTGACATGAAGAAAAAAACTGAAACGCTTATTCATCAAAAGGTCGTGGTTACTGATGTTTCAAGGCTTATAGGACTTTTATTTTTAATTCATTTGGTTAATCTAAATAAATAAAGTTTGAGCTTTAGTAACATTCATGTAATCCTTTCAAATGAATATATAAGTTTTTTTTTTATTTCGTTATGCCAATCATTTTGTTAATGATTAATAGTGATCAAATCTATAAAAAGAAAAGTATAGCGTATCTTTCCTTTCAGATAAAATGATCACTAGAATGGAAACCATACCTAATGAAATTCTTCTTCATATCTTTTCTTATCTGTCATGGTTCGATATGTTAACATGTTTATGGTCATTAAATATGCGCTTGAATTCTCTTGTATGTTCAATTTTATCGATAAATAACAATCGGTTGAATAGTGGTATTCTTATTACACATGGTTTATCTTATAATAAATGTTGTTCAATATTATTTCCATTGATTTTAAATTCATCATCTGTTTATTCTTCTATTCGACGTATTCATTTTGATGACAATAATTCAATTTCTTCTGATCTTTGCTATGAATGGTTATTTAATGATAAAAATATTCTTCGTTTTCCTAATCTTAAATCACTTATTCTTATTCGATGTGGATCAATTGAATCGGTAGTTCAAAGTTTGTTTTATCTTATTAAACATCAATTAGATGAACTTACATTAACATTTGATCAGCACGTATTTGACCGGTTTTTTTATGTAAAAAAACATTTGTCCGTGGTTTCTAACAAAGGTAACCAATCATTTATGTGATAGATTCTATAACGCAAGATAGGATTATCTGTCTTGAATAAATCCTCAACTGAGACTATTTAGATCCTATAGAAATTCTTTCATTGAAACAGAGAGGAGTATTTAAGTATCAAACAATAAGAAATATTTTCGAGAAAAATTTTGGATTGAAATCTATATTTGATAATTGTTGACAATCACTATTACTGAGTGAAAATCTAGTAAAATGGTCATCTGGCTGTAGAATACAAGAATATGGTCGCGAATCAACCTTGCTTTTTCCTTGTCTAACGCATCCTACACAATAAGATAACGTGTCAGCTTAAAACTGATTTATCACATCATGAGATTTTCTGTTAAGATATAGCAATTAATATGATAAATAATAATGTTCAATATTACTAGTTTCATTATTTTCTTGTTGTGCAAGACAAACATTAGATGTGAATAAGTAGTGTATGCCATTATGAATAAATTTTGGTTGATTGTCAATTGTGTCTCACAATTATATTAAACATGTTCCAATCATTTATTCATTGAAACGTCAACCAACTGTTATAACTATTCAGTTGATTCAACAGAAATATAATAAAATTTATTTTATTATTTTTTCTATATTTATTCCCAATATTTGATATTTTAATCAATCAAAAAAAAGAATGAGATTTTTTAGTTTTATATTATTAGACCTTAAATAAAAAAGAATTTTTCATAACAAAAAAGTTTTCTTTTGAATAATAGAAATTTCTTTGTCTTGTTTTTCTTTGATAAGTAATAGAAAAACAACTGAACATGATCAAACAACTTCTTTGTCAATTATTCTCTGCCGAATGTAAATTAAAATCTCTTCGACTTGATATTAGCAATGAATTTAGGGATGGTTCTATTCAACGATGTTTACCATCAAATCCTTATCTCTCTTCCAATTTTACTCAATATCAACATCAATCTTGTGTAACTCTTCGTCATTTACATATTCGACTTAATCAAATATCCTTTTTTGAAAATCTAATTGAATATGTACCAAATCTCGAACAAATGTCAGTTGAGATTTATGATTCAATAAATTCATATGCATTAAGGATGCCAAGTGTTGAAACATTGAGTCAATCAAACGAAAATTGGTTTAATAAAGTAAGAAAAAAAACAAATAATAATCATCTTTTATCATTTAATGAATTTCTTAAAATATTTATTTCTTTTGATTGATAAAAAACAATTATATCATTTTAGGTACCAAAACTACGATGTTTTAGTTTAAAAACTTTCATTAGCGATGACTTGAATATTATTTATGTGAAATGGCTTCTTAATAATATGAATTATGTTGAAAAACTTCAACTTCATCTTAGATGTCATAAATTAATCGAAACAAGATGCCAGAACATATTGAAATCTTTTATTGATGCAAATTTTATTCGTCAATATTGTTTACCTGATACAATACCTAATTTAATTTATTTCAATTTTTATATTTGTTCACAATGTCAATTATCATTTGATGATATAGAAAGAATAACAAATTCATTTAAAATTCATTCTTTTTTTATTGAACATCAATGGACAAATGTCAAATGTTTGTTTGATCAAATAATGTCATGTCAACATCTTTTCTCTTCTTTCATCAATACATCTCAGATCTCCGATAATCTCATGTTAGATATTTGTCTTTATGAAAACTCTGAGAACTTCTTTATTTACTTATGGTTTTTTTAGTGAATATTCATATATCTTTAATTGGCCATATAGTGATGGCATATGTTTTGATTTACATCCTTCACTTTATTTATTTCTCGAACAATTCACTGAATTATCACCTAATATTTCTTGTATTCAAGTATACAAACGTAAGTTTCTTTGCTATTTCAATCACTTTCTTGATAACTAAATCAAGTACTAGTTGGAGGATGGAGCAGATAGACACATCAATGAAGTTCTCTTTCACGCCAGTTGTACATCGGTAGCAATCGGGTGCAAGTGGTCGAGGTAGTTCACATCGATTCTAACGTTCTTCGAAGTTTCATGCTTAGAATCTGAATTAGAGTTTTCAGTTCGGCTATTAAGATATTCAACTATTCAAGTTTTCAGTTCAAAAAAAGTTATAGTATAATATATTCTCGAAACGTCTTTCTTTGTAAAATAATACAGAGAAAGGGAATCGATTTGCTTCAGTAGCTACAGATATGACTATTAAGAAAAAACTTGAAAACTTCTTGAAAGTGAACACCTCTCTATAGTGGATAGTATTCAATGGTCCTTTAGGTGTTCACTATAGAGAGATTATACTATATGTATATTAGCGAAGACAATGCAAGAGTGTGCATTATAATGGCTATGAGGGCAAATGAAGGTCATCATTATATGTTGTATAATATCGAACTAACTAAGATTGAAATTTGAATTTTATTTTATTCAGCGTTATTGTAGTATTAGCTGTTGCAGCCTGTTTTATTGTAACATCTAACTGACTGTATGGAGCTTTTGGAACCATTTTTCGATGTTTAAAGAGAATATGTTTTGAAAAAGTTGTTGGTTTGAAATCAATCATTATGATTTGTAATTTCGGAAAAGTATGTATAAATGCTATTGCAGAGGAGAAATGTGAATTTCTCTTCTTTAACATACATTATTCGTAAATGTTTATCTTCTTGTGTATTTGTAACTTAATTGGTAGAAAGCAGTGATGACTAGGTGCTAGTTTCATTTCTGCAAATGATTTAATAGGGATCTACAAGAGCTCGATTTAACGAAGAGCTACAAAACTAGTACTGAATTACGTCATATATTACGTGGATTCATTATGCTAGTCCTTTCACATGGATTTTATTCTCTTTTTTTTTTTGATTGCTTAGTTTTTCTTTGCTTGTCTTATTCCTGCATCATTTGACATCATGTTATTTATTGATTTTTTGCACACTACCATCTTATAACTAAAACGTGAGACGATCAAATTCGGACACACTTCTAGTGAGAGCATCGAGATACATCTTAATAACAATGAGCTCAGTTGTTGCATATGTGCGATCTTTACATTGCTCTGCGTCAATTGACGAAAGTCTATTTAACTTTCGCCAATATTGATGAAAGTTCACTATACTCTCATCAATTTATTTCTGAATATTCGCCAATTGGCAGAAGTCGTATTGGCGAAGAGCGAGAACCCCCCAAGTTCAATATATTCGTCTAATTTCATAACAATTCTTTTGTGTATAATTTTTTTATTAAATACAGAACATCACATGTAATTTTCATCGAAAAAGTTATAGGAAAAGAGAGATTATTCGTGAACATCGAATTACATCGTTCGCAAACGAATCTAATAGAAAATTAATAAAACAATATCTTTAAAAGTATAAACAAATTCTACTCTTGTTTTAGAATGTCACAGAGATTTTGACGAGTCAGATTTATTGATGTCATTGAAGATCTTATCCAAAATGAGTCAATACGAGGGAATCAATAACCCTTTTCGAAATGTTACGAAAATTCAATTTGGAACGCATTTTCATCGGCGCAACAGTATGTATTATATTTGATTATTTTCTAAAATTTGAAAAGAAACAGATTACTCTTCATTTATGACTAAAAGAAAGCATTATCGCAACCTTTTTTTATGCTTCAAATTTCACATAAAACTATTTTTCTTATAGTCAGTAGAACGAAATGGACTTTATTTTTGTATATTACAGATTTAATATTTCATAATTATATTGAAGCTTTAGACATAAATTTTGCGATTATTTATGCTGAGAAGAATTTAATTAGTCATGAGAAAAACACGATTTATAGAAAAAGTAACGTAATAATATCGAGTTTAACCATTAGTATTGAGACCAGAGATGGAACCGGTACCGACGACCGGTCGGTCCGGTCCAGATTTTAGACCTGCCGGTAGACCGACGACCGAACGATGTATCTAACTTTTTTCTATTTTTATCTCATAAACTGGTGGAAAACTTAGGAATCTTGGTGCTATCTTGCACAAAGTCCAAAAGAAAATGTCGGTAGTAGTTGACTACCTGAATTTTTACTATCCAGAGATAAAATTAGTGATGCTAAAAAATTTTAGAGTGACCGGTCCGGTCCGGTCTGACTTATTTGGACTGGTACCGGTACCGGTCATAAAAAATCCAGACCGGTTCCATCTTTGATTGAGACTCTATTCAAATTCTGGCCACTGTTGGAATAGATCCTGCATCAGTTAAAGACCTTCGTCTGTTCAGATACACCTACTTTATACAATCTGTCATGACTATGAAGATTTGATCTATAATCTGTTCCGTTCCAATTCAACGTTCTTTTCTCTGTGTGAGCAGCCTTAAAAATTGCATCTTTCGTTAAGAATTTTACTTGGTTATTATGTATAGATAGATACATTCTAATTTAAAATGATTTATATGAAAATGTTTTTCGTAAGAGATTTAGTTGCTACCGATGGAGAACTGCAGTGAACAATGTTGATTTATTGATATATAGATGATAAAATTGAACGAAAAATATTATGATTGATTCATAATTGAGAGATATTTTCGATCAAGATGAAAAATATTGTATTCTGCCAAATTGGTTATTTTATATTTAATAATAAATATCTAAAATATTTTACAACTTTTCTTGACTGGTAGATAATAAATAAAAATAATTAAAAAAAAATATTATTTCGAATTTGGGGTAATTTTCAGATGATTGCTGCAAAACTTGAAATAATTTTTCTGACATATTTAACTAATTTTCAATTTATTCATATTAGAATTATTCTCATAGACAGAACTGACTTTTATTTTCCTGTTACTTTTTCCACAAATGACTGGTTAGCAAATCTTTCCTCTATTCTCATATTACTCTCAAATGTACGATCTAAACAATAGAATTTAGAAAATTAGTTTTTTAATTTAGAGTATATCGATTAGAATAATTCTATTTCGTTACTAGATAAATATTCTTATAGTAATAACGTAGAATTTGAATTCTTTTTTAGGTAATTTTTCAAGTGGATTGGTAAAGCGAAACCAAATACGTGAAAAAGTATTCGCTAATCTCATTTCAATGACTGTACAGCTCAAATATCTTCAAGTTGAACGATTCGAATGGCTTTTACATATTGTTCAATATGTAAGGCAGTTTTTTTTATCTATGAATTAGACATATGTTTATGAATATATGTGTTAAAATCTTTATTTTGATAATGAGTAAACACTTTATAGGTATCAAAGAAAGGTAGTTTTTATTAGCATTTGTCGTTATATATCTATCGCGATCAAAAATTATTGGCGACGTAAAGAGATCAACTGTTTTTTATTCGTACCACTTTAAAACATCTACACTGATTTGCCAAATCAATTCTAATCGAACAGTATAATTTATTATTAGTTTTTTGTTGTTTTCTATTTAGATACCTGACGATCTAAGAACGAACGCATTAAATACTGTTCGATATGCTGAATTTGGTCTTCCAAGTTGTCATAAGTGTAGAGGCGACGTAGCTCATATTGGCAAATATCTTGTACCTTTTCTTAGTACATATATGCCTAATTTACAAACATTACGTCTTTGGCGACCAGATGATTTTCCTTGGACAACTAGTAAGTTTATTTTACATAAATGAAAATTATCAAAACAACATCTCTTAATATTCTATAATAAATGTAACTCTGTTTTTTGTTTTACTAATTATGAATCATATTTTGTCCTTTATTTATCAAAAAGTTGTTTTTATAACAATGCATAGTTCAACCTGATTGAACACTTTTTTTATGTATCAGTTTCATTCAAGTCCTATCTTGTTTCTCTTAACAAGATTTTGTAACTATATGACATAGACTTGATATTTGAGAATTACTATGGAACGTTTGTAAACGTTAATTTTATCTTCGAATTCTCTAAATCGTAAACATCGTAGTTATACAGTGGATTAATTTCCTCAGTATGTAACTGATTTTGATGACAGATATTCTATCTTATTCATTATCATAGATCAAGTACGGAAACGTCGAACAACCAGTTATATTTAATAGAGTCACAAATGTTTGAATTGTAAAATTTTTTTTAGAAATGTTACTCTAATTTGTTCCTTTAAGTCTACCTCTTTAAAATGGAAATCCCATTTAGAAAGATTCGTTTCGGCTGAAATTTTCACAGGTAGATGATCTCAATAAGGAGCTCGTTTGGTGAAAATTTCGGCCGAATACTAAGAGGATGACTTCAAATTAAAGCCAACGCTTGTGCACAACTTTTGTCCGAACTGAATATTGCTATTCACTTCCGTTCATTTTTATAAGCATTTTAGTGAGCTTGAAATCAAATTCAACCGAAAAAAGTCTACCACATGACACTAATGTAGATCCCACTTGTATCACCCCAAAAGTCAAACATAAGAAATCTGCTCGGGCAAAAGTTTACTTTTAAGATTTTAAAACGAAAAAAATATCGTTTATATTTTAAATTATGTGGGAGGCGTTCTAGTTTTTCCAGTTGAAAATCATGTTTTGAAGAAAAAAAGTAAATAAGTTTAGGAATATTTTTTTGTTAATTCAAAACCTTTACATTTATGCGAAATACGCATGACCTATATGTTTGGTGTTGATAATCAATTATATATTTATCTGATTTTTATCTTGTGTTAGTAAGCTTTTAATAATTAATATAAAATGGTCTGTTCAACGCTAATGCAAATGTAAACACAGTATTAAAAAAATCTGACAACATCAGAAAATCGCAAAAATATCTCAGAAAATATAGAAGTAGACTGGAAGTCTCCTTCAATAACTCTTTCAATATTTAGCCGTTTTGCAAAAAGCCATATATATTCTGAGAGAAGACACTTTAATGCATTTTTCTATGATAAAAAAATCATCTCCAATTTTTTTAATCAGGTTTTCTAACGGAAGAGACTCTTCACTATCTTCAAGTTCGATATTAAGTTTCAAAAGAAACGAGATAGACAAAAAATACTTATTTCTTCAACGGTATTCGTAACTGTTGCGTATTGCCATAAGAAAAAACTGTAAAATTAAGCAAAATTTTATTTCAAAATATTAATCAAATTCATGTTGTTTTCAGAATCTATTAATCACAAAGTAAAGTGATAAAGAGAAAACTTTAACAATGAAAGTTTCTCTCATATCAATATATCTTTCTCTCTTCATCGAACTAAAGAAACAAAAAGAATGAACCACGAAAGAACAACTTGTTTTCTAAAACATCTACTTCGAATATATTTGAGAAGGCCAATGTTCATTCGACTTTTACTAAAGAACTAAATCGGTCACAAAAGTTGCTCAATCGAAAAACAAAAACTATGAGACAATCATCTTTAAAAAGAAACAAAGATTAAAAAATCTCTTGAAATGTTCTATTTCGTTTGATAAACAAAGAGAAAACGATTTTGAATTCGAACTCTCATACATTATAGAAATTCATATTCTTTCATTGTCTTTTCTTTTCTTTATTTAAGTTCGGCCAGATTATAACGAAGGATATTACTATGATGTATTAGTTCTAAAATGGCTCAAGTCTCTACGAACATCTGAATCTATTGGTATACACATAAAATACAACGATTTCATATAAGAAAATAAATTAATAATATAAATTCGTTTTTTAGATCAACATGTGGCCATCTTTGAACAAGATCTTTGTCAACTGACGGAAAATTTAAAAGAATTTACCTTTCTCGACATTTATGGCAAAATTGATTATGAAAAGGTGGAACCTTATCGTTTAATGGTTCAAGCTCGCTTTCCTAATAGTCGAATAGATGTTGAAATATCAAGATTTCGTCTTTGGCTTTAATTTTCTCTTTGTTATATGCAATAGATGTGTATTAATGACGATTATCCTAGTTGACTGGTTGTTTTTTGTGCTTGTCTTTCTTTCATGTTATAAACTGTAAATTACTTACATTTAATAATGAAATACTGATATTGTCCTCCAGATAATACGTGGGTCATTCTGAAAGTTTTTAGACTTGCCATACTGTTAGCTTAGTTTGAAAGAATTTTATCATATTTGTTCGAAGTAATGTCCTTGTACACTAATAATGCACTTACTCATTCTCTCGAACCACTTTTCATAACCTTGGTAGAAATTCTCTTTTTGAAGACAGTCCATTTGCTCTTGAACAACATCATAAAGTTCATAAATATTCTGAAGAATTTTTGCGGCGAAGGTGTTATTTAGTTTTTGGGAATGGACAGAAGTTGTGCGAACTTGGATCCACTTAGTAGACTGGCCGATTCATCAATTGAACGCATTGAGCGTCTAAATGATTCATTGTTCGTGTTACCTTTTGTGTTGGTGCATGATCATGCAGAATAATGAGACCCTTGAGGCATCGGTATTTCCTCACTCGTTTCAAAACATACCAAAGGCATTCATTTGTATAGTATTTAGCTATAACTGTTTTACCGCTTACACGAGGAATGGCTGTGTTAAAACCAAATGTCATAAAAAAAAATCCAGACATGTGTTTACCAACAGAACGTTGTCCGCAAGCTTTGGTTGGACGAAGATCATTGCTTGCCACTCAAACTTGACTTTGACGCTTCATCTCTGGATCATAATGATTGAATCAATTTTCATCATCAGTGATAATATCATACACATATTTTGATCAGCCGCCGTCAAACCTTTCTAGCATTTCCAGGCAATAGTCAACATGGTTCTGTTCTTGAGCTTCTGTCAGAAAATAAGGCACCGAACGGCATGTAATCTTTGTCAAACCAAGATAACCATAGGGACTAGTTTATTTTGCTGCCGATCTAATCTGCAAGATGTGCTCTATTTGTTGGTATGTGGACCAACAACAACCAGTTGATGGGCAACTTCGAGGTTTTTTAGGGTGGGTGTGGGCGTGGGAGGATGCTATTGTCATTGACCCATAACACCCACACCCTACCTTTGCTACCTAACTAAGTTAGCTCGGTGCAGAAGAAGCTTGACTTGAAAAGATTTCAACTGTCAAGAAACGAATTTCAATAGAAAAGTTTAAGTTAGATATTGGACACTTTTTGACAAGAAGAATGTAAATTAATTATTTTGCAAAGTTTGAGATATCTTTATCCAGCGCGCATCATTGATGAGGGACAATTGTTTCTACCAATCCTATTTATCAGATCTTTAGCTATATTTGTTTTCGAGAGTTCTTCTAGAAAGATTAACCCTCTAAAATCATATGAATACATATTTTCTTCGTCTTTTACGGACACATCGTTTAACATAGACTTCTACGAATTAACAATGAATAAACGATGAAATATGTGATCAATCAAACTATGAATGATAAATAATGAAGGAGATAGGAAAATCCATGATACTTTTTTTTCCAAATACTTGTCGCAATAGGCAGCTGTCACCGTCTCATTCAAAGGTATGTATTTAGCATCATAAGCAAAACGTTTTATAAATTCAAGTCTTCTTGAACAAGATATTCTTAACTAGTCATAATAATAATAATGTTAATGATCATTATTATAGGTATGCCTGAAGATATCATCACCATTATCAACTACGTCTCTGGACAACTATTTATTCATCTAGGATGTCGCATTGCTGTTATGAGCATCCTTGAATCATCTGCTAAGTATTATTTTACTTACTAGACCACGTTATCGACGTTTTCCATCTTCACTTTGTATCATTGTGTGAAGTGTTCGCTCTTCTGACAATCAGTTTTGCATTAATCATCCGCATCGCATCTCTAAGCCTTCGATATGACATAACAAATCTTAATTTATACATATGCAAGATGCATTTTGATTTGATCCAATGGTGTCTCGCCATACCTCTCTGATGTGTTTGTTTATCACCGTTTTGTCGTTTCTGTATTACGTCACGCAATGCTCGTCGACGTGATGGATGTACAATGAAACGTTTTCGCATCATGGTTATTGCTCTGATCCTTATATTCATCTTTTGTCGTTAACCAGATCTGTATTACGCAGGTTTCGTTCCTAATAACAATACGGATACCTGCACTGTCTATCCATCATTTCCTTCATATTATAACTTTCATATTTATTTCAGTTATCTTTTCTTTTTTAAATCAATATTTTAATGATCTTCTACATTCTTACACGAACCAATCTTCGTCTGTTCGTTGCACAACAGACAGATGGTCGTAAAGGACAACAAATAACATCAATGGTTCTTCTTCAAGCACTAGGAGCTACTACTCTAATACACTATGCAGACAGTTTGATCTGTACGGCGATAGTAAGATATTCGATAAAGAATTCATATAGTTTGGTGTTAGAGAATTTGATCAATAATGCATCTCCAGATATGCGACGAAGCATTCAAGAAGAATGCTTGAAAGTTATCAAACATAGAATCGCAACTACTCAAACTGTTGCAACAAGCCATCTAGCAGCTGTTGCTGCTAGAGCCAATACTTTTTAATGATTATTTCAATAAACTTTCTCCAGTATGGTTTCCGTTACTTGTAGAATTCTCTTCTAAAGGACAATCCCCAGTCTACAATACTCCCTTCGACATGAATTAGTATTTTAATCTGTGTATTTTTATGTATTGTGGATTCGCTTGCGAAATAAGTTCTGAACCACTAGAAGGCATCTAATCTTTTTCTCATCAACAGATGACATATTTAATGAAAACGAAAGCATCCACTCAAGATTTTTTCAGATGTGAATTTCTCGTATATGTCACTTGTTTTTATCAAAATAAAAAATAAATAATATCTCACTTTGACGTATCCAATTGAGAAATTCCAGTAACCTTCGTTCGTGGGAATAGTGTTATCTAGGATATTTTTCAATCAGGTTCTTCGATCATTGTCTGACTAACATGAAAACATAGATCAAAGGAATGCATTTAATTTCTTCAGTTTTTTTTTCAATGAACAAATTGAATGTGAACTTCTTCTTAACGAAAGCTTCGTATTACTTAAAAATGACACCTCACGGCTCAAGTTATGAAATTATTTGCTTTCAATGTGGATAGATCCATATATACAAAAATTGCAACACTTACGTTTAGACAAGCCGCTACATTGAATAAAGAGAACAGTCCTGAAATGTTTTTTATTGAATAATACTTGCGACACATAAAAATCGCTGATTTCGTGATTCTTTTCTTATAAAATTGGCTTTTTGAATAAAAATAAAGTAAGGAAGTTTAAGAAATATTAAATCAGTTCAATACATTGGAAAATTTTATTTTATTTTATTTCTGAAATCCTGAATTAATCGTAGCTGAAATGGTTTTAAGATAAAATTATCGTCATTTTTTTATATTCATGTCAACGAAATAACTTATCCATGAGTCGAATATTTTTTCGGTATTGTTCTTTTTTAATTTTATTTATTTATAAATTCACAGTTATCTTTGAATGAAGGCCTAATCATTTTGGAAAAAACTATGTGCATGGGCGAGAAAGGGTTTCTTTTTCTCAAAAAGACAATACTAGATTTTATTCTAGAACAACTTGTGACATGAAATGTGAAACATGAGGATTTCTTTTTGAAAAAGATTACAAATGAATAAATTCGAATCCTAATGTCATCATTAACGAGTAAAGCAATCGCCTTTTCATTACCGACATATCGCTAATTTTTAATTTTTCCGTTCGAATGTCAGGGTAATAAAACTAATAATGATTTCCTGAAGAAAATTATGAAACAAATCAAGCGAAACTTGAATGTTAAACATTACCGTTATATGTTCCAGAATATAATCAAAATATCAACATCTGATGTGATAATAAGATATGCAATATATACTGCGATTTCTACTTTATTCAGTAATTGAATCTTCTAGAATCATATCGTTGCTTAATGCACATGTAATTATCAATTCTATGAGGATTTAGACATGCGCCAAGGTCGAGCACAACTTTCAGTATCGATAAGGAGTTCAGTTTGAGCCAACGTGTTTTATTTTGATTTCTCTTAAAGTTTTGGTCATTTGTAAGTGTAAGATGAGTTATAGATTATAGTGCTCCTATGGAATTCATTATTGTGTTGATGTGAAAAAAAATCAATTTTATTACCTATCATTTCATTTGATTTCGAGTTTTTGAACATAGTCATGGGTCGTCGTAGGTAGAAACTTCTAAATTTGAACATCATTAACGGCAAGAGATGATAATGAAGTGACTTTTGGCCTTTTATTTCTTGTGGTTCGCAATATGAAAAAGTTTTATCTGATGAACCATAAAAGAGCAAACACTGCCTGAATAAAAAGACTGCAAGAATTTTTATTTATTCGAATGACGAATTTATTCATTGGTATATTATTTGACATCGCAATATTCGTTCGCGACAATATTTCAAGATCAGATTTTCCACATTAATAACTATAAGTTGTATTTTCGACTTGAGTCATTCTTTCAGAAGAAAGTGAAAACATAGGTATAGTAGTAGCACTATCATGTTCCACATGGCTGGAAACCTCTGTATCCAAGTTTTGAAGTGAAATATAGTCATTATGAAGGACCACAAAACTAGCTTCATATGCAACAACATATGATTTAGATAATGCAAGTTTTAGTTATTCTCATTGACAAGATCAATCAAAACCTCTGAAAAATTTGGATACATAGGTTTTCTGGCTATGTCATTCTATCTTTCGACAGGAGAAAGAACTAGAAGACTGGCATTTTCTATGAATGTAATAGATATCAAGCACTATCAGAGAGAAAAAAATTTCAGGTTTTTTTACCGAATTTTTAAATATTACATAGTGCCCTGCAGGGGCGAAGTAGATATCGTCATAACTTTTTGGCAGAAGCAATCAAAATCGAAATGCTTTCAGTGTTTTTCTCAAGAACTACATCTTATCCATAAGGCAAAGATCCTTAAAATCGAACGAAAACATCAGAGCAGAATAATTCATCATCATATATGGGCAAATAAAAGAAAGAAAATTTGCCTAGGCTGGCTGAGTGGCATCGCCATCTGACTCTTGAGTCAGATTCTAGAGTTTCGATACTCTGCCTGAGCACTATTCTGTGTCATCGATGATCAAAGCCAATGATCTTCGCGCCACAATACTAATTGATTACTTCATGCAAACTGTTTATTGACCGACTCGACTGTTTCTCGAACTTGATTTACTCTAATTACTTGTAAAAACGCGAAAGCGATTGGAAACCGGGACTTAAGGTCTAGTTTCTGTACTCATACAAATTGAATAAAAATAAAGCACTAATTAAAAAAAAGAAAAAAAAAGAAAGAAAATCAATGAAGAAAAGCTTTCAGAGGGAAGAAATGTCTATAAAAATATGTCGCAGATAAACTATGAGTAATTTTCATAAGTTGATAGTCGATCGATTAGAGTTGAAGATATTTATAGAAACATTCTGTCAATATCTAATTTACTCTCTAACATATTTATTTTCATGCAAATCTTTGCTGTTTTTCATTTTGAGATTATGAAACTAACCTACACTGACCTAGATAGTTGCCAATGATTCATCATTATCTGAACAATTTTCTTTATTTTAACCATAAAAAAGTCGATTGCCTACATTTATGCTCATTTTGAATAAGGATTTTATCACGAACAATCAAAACCTGATCGGGATTCATACATTCCATTTCAATGAAGAAACATTGAAAAAAGTAATTTTTATACACATCTATGAAACGTTTTTTCTTCGTATTAATAGAATTTTTATTTAATTGATGTGAGATCGCAGAAATAATTTTAATGATATTAAGAATGTATTCATTTTCGATTGGAAACTATAACACTCCCCAACTCTTCCACTACACGTTATTGTCAAGATCTCTTCATTTGTCTTTTACTTAAATGTTTACTGAAAAGTTTTATCAATGATTAAGATTTCTTTTAAAAATATGACTTTTATGCACTTTTCATTGGAAATCATGTGCAATGTTTTTTTTATTTTTGTATTACAAAAACGATATGAATTCGTAAAAGACAAGATCAACTTAAACTTTAGATAAAAATTAAATTTGACCTCAAATTTGCATTGAACTTCGATAAAGAAGTCTAACGATATCTTATTGTAACTCTTTCATGTTCATAGACCTTGATAAGACGTCGTTTGAACTTCCAAAAATCCATCTCAGATCTTACAATTGAATTTTTGATAAAGAATTTAGTTGATTCGGAATCAACTTTGAAGGAGATTTCATATGGAGCTCTAATCATAGACAAGTATTTTATAATCTACAATAGTTTTGAGGCTATTTTATAAACAATCTAGTAGTATGTACCGAAAAATTAATAAATGGAAAGTAATTTACTAAAATTTAGGATTAATCCACTAGGACGTTCAGCTGTGCTTGATTAAATACTATATTACGCTTTCATTTATTTAAATGGATATCAATGTCTATAAATGATGATTTGTCTCAAAAAAAAAGAATCATTTACGAATTACTCTTCACGAAAAAATTGCATCAATTAAAGAGAAACAAAATTTGGTACAAAACCGAACTTAACTAAAACATCAAGTGAAAAGATTATTTTCATTTATTATGTCAAGATCAGAAAGTATATATTTATATATATATTTAATTAGACTTTATTATTCATGTCGATAGATTGTTTTTTTATTTTTTTCTATTTGTTTTTATTATTAAATACAATCCAAGCAGGTAAAATAACTGGTGTTTCACCCAAAAACTCTGAAAATAGTCAATCAACACAAGAACTTGAGAAATTATCAAAAGATGGTCAACCTTCTCTATTAGATTCTACAAGTGGCCATTTAGAGGAAGAACTGAATGAAGCAATTAAAGATGAAGATCATTGTTTAACAAACGTAAAAGCTGTTAGCGAAATCCCTTGCGGGATTAAAAATGTGAAACACGATGAATCTATTGTTATTAGTTAAATGGAAATCGCTTTGTTCCATTTCTTTGCGATACATTTGTAAGCTAACCCTTTATCTAATGCTTTAGAACTGCAGTTTCTCTGTCACGGTCTCTGACGGATCCCAAGCTCTGTCTGTCACGGTCTGTGACGGTTCATTAGTTAATTAGATACTAATTAATTAATTAATTGATTAAGACGTCTGTCACGGTCTGTGATGGGTCACGAGCCTGTCTGTCACGATCAGTGATGGGCTCCAGGCCTGTCTGTCACGGTCTGTGATGGGCCTCGCGCCTGTCTGTCACGGTCTGTGACGGTTAATTAGTTAACTAAATACTAATTAATTAAGACGTCTGTCACGGTCTGGAGGGGGGGGGGGGGGGGGGGGGGGCGCAATAGGGTCCAAATCTCTACCCCTAAACACTTCAACAATCCTTTCAGATCGTGTTTCACAAAAGATAATCAACTAGATAAAACAAATGAACAAGAATTATTGGACTCGACGGATGGTCTATTAGAACTAGAACTTGAAGAAGCAACTAAAGATAATGCTCATGTACGTTCATCGTTAGATAATTCATTATTTGAGAAAGTTAATAATGAAAATTTCGAACATTTAACTATGCCAATGAGTTCATTACCAGATATAAATCAAGAAATAAAATATTTTTCATTAGATAAAGTATCACCCGGTCATACACCAGCCGGTATTATTATACAAGATTATTTACTTTCAGATAAAATAAAATAAATTCATTTATATCAAAGTAATAAAGTTGAAGATACAAAAGAATTATTTCATTATATTTCACGACACCTTCATAATTGATATATGAATTGTGCATCGAATTTTCGAAAATCGATTATAAATCCACGTTCAGAAGAACCAATATTTTATCGAAATTGTGTTCCATGTACTAATGCTGTAGATCTTAATTTACAAAGTTTATTCGATCAACAAATACATATTACAGTAAAACCTCTATATGTGGGCACCTCTCCATAATGGGCACCTTCTTACATTGGGCGACCGAAAGTCCGCCCAAGCGATTTTTGCTAGGAATGAGTCTCTCCATAATGGGCACCTCCTTATTCTGGGCAGTGGGTACTTATTTATGGCCTCGTGAGCAATAACAACCTCTGTAATATGAGCAATATATATTGTACCACTCATGCGCAGAGCGAGAAAAAAAAGATGTTGTGCGTATCATGTTATGATAAACAACCATAGAACACGTATAAGAAAGAGTCGACCTAAACGAGCGCATCTGACAGAAAAAAATAACAGACAACAATACCTCGTGTAACATATCGTCGTGCTTGTGGGTGTGGGTGGGTGTGCGTGTGGTTGTGTGGGTGTGGGGTGTGGGTGTGTGGGTGTGGGTGTGAGTGTGTGGGTGTCGGTGTGGGTGAGGGTGTAGGTGTGGGTGTGTGGGTGTGGGTGTGGGTGCGGGTGTGGGTGGGTGTGGGTGTGGGTGTGACCGTGGATGTGGATTTGCAACTGTGGCTCTGAGTTTGCGGATTTATTTCAGCTGCTCACACTCACACTCACACTCACACCCACCCACACCCTTTATCTATACCATTTTCATTTTTACCAGTTAATCGTATTGCTACTCAATTGTTTACTTATGATCTAGAAGAAGAACACAAAGAATCATGTTCATTATCATGTGAAAATCATAGTCGATGTATGACATATACAAATAATAAATTATTATTTTTTTTGCCAATGTCATCAAGGATATTCTGGTTCTTTATGTAATATACAACATACATGTTCATATGCAAATGATTCATTTTGTTTAACTTCATCTACTTGTATTTGTCCATTAGATAAAATTGGTCCTAAATTTTATTTGTAACATTCAATATGTGATTCAAACAATAATCTATATCAACATAATGGTTTATGTAAACCAACTGATGATAGAATTAGTTTAAAAACATTTACTTGGTTTTGTACAGAAGGTTAATCAAGTGAAACATGTCACAACATAAACAGTGAAATTATTATACATTTAGATGAAACAATAACAAAAATAACATCATCTTTACTCATTCATTTTATCACAACCTTTCAAGATACAAGACATGAACAAACAACTATAGTTAAAAGAATTTCTTTTGATCAACCTATCATTAGAATTAGTGTAGCACAATCATTTAATCTTATTTTTATTCAAGTACCTAATCAAGATTATTATTTGTCTGTAATAAGACAAAGATTTATATCGTTAGAGAAAATTTATACTCAAATATTATCAAAACAACGTTGTTCTTCTCTTGAAGAAATCCTTAATAAAACATTTGTTAGTTATGAATATTTTAATCGTACAAAATATTATCCACTTTTATGTTGACAACATTCTCAAATAATGTGTTTTTATGATAAAGATCATATGTGTATTTGTGATTTTGATCGATTTTCTAATTGTTTTATTTTTAATCATACAACAAATTATGCTTGTTATAAATAATGCACAATGTTTTCAAAATAATCAAACATGTGCAACCAAATCAGTATGTATATGTGAAAATTGTTATTATGGCAATAAATGTGCATTTTTCAACTAAAGGTTTTATATTTTCACTTGATTCTATTCTTGAATATCATATCAAACCAAATGTTATATTTACTCGACAACCATTGATTATAAAAATAAGTCTTGTTATTAATTTGATTATTCTCATGTGAGGTTTAATTAGTGGACTTTTTTCGATAATAACATTTTCTAAAAAGAAATCAAAAGAAGTTGGTTGTGGTTATTACCTTTTAGTATCATCAATTAGTTCAATATGTATGATTATTTTATTAAAAATTAAATTTACTCAGCTAATTTTTTTACAAATGTTATTGTTAACTTTGTTTTACCGTCGAAAAACTACAAAACTGAATTTATGGTGGAAATTCAGAAGTTGACCAAGCGCTTTCGTACAGTTTCATAGTTTAATTATTTGCAATAACTCATGTAACAAACTTTATAATGAATTTTTATTTTCTTCATATATTATTCTTAACTGATTAATAGTAAGACAGGCTTTTGGGAAATAAAAAAAATGATTTAATTCTGAAACGTATTTATATATGCTTTGAACTAAATAAACTTGCTTGATTTTAGTCATATTAAATAAATTCATGGGCATATGAGGTGTGTGGGATATGGGTATCAGAGAGCATCTTTACTACAGTGACATTAACACATGAGAAAGTACTTCAAGAATCTTTCGACCTGCGGAGAGTCTTATAGTCGTTTTTCAGATACGGGAGTGTCAGGATTCAACTCTTGAAACCTATGTAATAAGATGCCAGCATAGCCATAAGAAAAACAATGATTATTTTCCAGTCTCGTTATTTACTTCGATATAAAATGTCTTTCTCATCATTTTTGTTTTATCGTTGCTCGCCACGATAGCGGCCGCTTCGGACAAGTTTTCTGTTGTTCTTCGACCGTGCAGTACGGGTCGCTAAAAATCACGACGCAACCGCAACGAGTCACTACGGAAGTTTGATAGCTATCTTTTACTTATGGCTCGTCATCTAGTTTCGTTACCTCGTCAACTAGGATGCGTGTGGATGTGGATGTCGGCGTGGGTGGGGCTAGGCACAGGTATGAGTGTGGGATGTGGGTGCGGGCGTGAGCGCAGGTGTGGGTGTTTTCTCTTCCCTTCCTCTCCCTCCTCCGATCCCACCAGCATGCCCACACTCATCAGGTGAGGAAGTAACGAGGTGATTGACGGTCTGAGATCCTCTTGCTGCGACTTGTTGCGGTTGGGCCACATTTTGTGGCAAATACTCCTGTGCAGGTGTGAGCTTTGGTATGATGTGGATGGGAGTGTGGGTATTCTTTTCACTGATCCTTATTTGAGGTGTTGAAAATGTGTTGTACCATCATGATCGGTTGCATCATCTGCGGTTCCAAGATTATTGTAATTGTTGGCACGATGCAGTAAAAATTGTGGTTTACAACTTTACAAATTTTAACTGCTTCTATTTTTTAGTTGATGGCATCAGCATGTTTTTCATTATGCATAGCGATTGTTCCGAATCTGTCATGAAATTTAGCACGAATATATCTAACCATGGCCCACAAAAAACAAATGTCCTAAAGGAGCAGACTGTTTTTTGTCGACCTCAATGATATCAAACTTTTAGTGAAACCAAATAGATGTGACAGGCTATGAAGTAAATATCGATGTTATTTTAGAATAGCATAACTATAGACGCATAGACTTCGTTTGTCGATTGAATCTGCTTATATAGAAGTTGCTGAAATGTTATCGGATTCTTCATTGTAAAAACCTTTTGAATTCGAATAAATTTTGATACAATCAATGTCTTCATCGTATGGTAAAGAAAAAAATTATGCTGTGTTAGATTTATTTTGAAGAGCTGGATATATTTTGAAACTGCAGTTGAACTTCTTCCAAAAATTTCACAAAATGCCATTAAGAAATAATACTAACAAATCATTCAAAAATTATCTTGATATTCATGGAGAAGAGAACTCCTATAAGTGAAGATCGATTCACCACAACACGGCTGACATACGATGGGATCGTTTTCCTCGCGAAAAAATGATCTCAAGTAATGAATCGCTTTTGAATCTAGTCTAGTCGTATTCAATGATCTGACGTACAAGATTGATGCTAAAAAACAAAGAAGTAAAATGAACCAGTACCTTTTTAAGCCAAAGTTGATAGTCATTTCTCTCGAAACTTCTTCATAATGCTTTGATTTTTCACAAAATCATAAGGTAGTCGATGTGGACGTGAGTGCTGATTATCTCTTCATCCACACCCATACTCATTACAAGAAAAAAGTCTCTGGATAAGGATATTGTAAAACCGAATGGAGTCATTAGGAACGTAAGCTACTTTTGAAGGCAAAGGGCGTAGAGATGTTTCAACATAGAAAAGCATAGAAAACAGGGGTACTGAGTAGGAAAGTTTCTAAAGGAGAAGGGCATTTCATCGAGAAATTTCAAAAGCATCGCGATGTAACGTTTTACGTCCCTCTTTTTACACCACTGGGAGTCATAGCAGTACTGGCGTCGGCGTTTGAGATGTGTTCATTATATTTGCTTAATTAGTTTGGAAGCGCATCGGTTTTGAAGTAATTCAATGCTTTGGACTCAAAAATATGAAAACTTCGCCTGGATTAATATCCTTACTATAAATAACATTTCTGGATGAAATTCATCAATTCAGCTTTTAAGCATATACTTTGCTACAGGGAAAAAAACCACAAGAATTATATTTATTTGATTACGCATAGGAACAAAATATTATCTTCTTCGATCATACAAGAACAGCTCATATTTACTTTTATTGTCCTCAACCGATAGTCGTCGAGTTATATTCAAACCCTTCACGTCGCTCTTGTGGCGCAATTGGTTAGCGCGTTCGGCTGTTAACCGGAAGGCTGGTGGTTCGAGCCCACCCAGGAGCGTTTTCATTTTTTTGCTCACCTGAAACAATGACTCTTTCTCAGTAGTGTTAACATGCGATCAAAGTCGGACTCCTGCAATTTCTATTATCATAGTATAGTAAGTTTGTTTTTTCACGAAATGCTAACTATGAAGTATGACAATATTGTTGCTGTATACGCTGACTTTATTCGAACATCCAATGATGCCGATCTAATACCTTCTATTTGATTTTGCATGTACTTTTTTCAAATTCATAAAATCTTCCTATATTGGATACCTTCGAGATTTCGAAATGTCCAACATTGCAAGATGTCCATCATATAGAGATTGAATGTTTTTTTAAAGATGATTTTTTTTTGAAAAAAAAAACAAGCTTTCCAGGTATCCAAACAATGTAACGAATGTAACAATCTTGAATGCATTATTGTATATTCTTGCACGAATTTTGATTTTGCAAAAAAAAATAGAAATTCTGCCCAGTATGAAAATAACCTTTGACAACATAATTGCTCTGCATATCAAATTAAGTAAACGCTATATGATGGCCACTCAAGTTCGTTTATGAGAAGGTTTCTATTTAAGACAATATATTCTTTCGGATTTTCTTTCTACCAATTTACAAATCTAATATTTAAAAGAATGAAAAATGTCAAGTCGGATATAGTGAGTTTATGCGTATCGCGAGATTTTGCACGGCTTTTAGAGCGTGTGTAGATATGGATATTGGTTGATGATGAATATGGATGAAGAGATAACACAATCCCTCGCATGCCTCAAGCCGACATTGACATCGTAGTCTATTGCTTTAATTATGATGGTTATGTGATGATTAATGTATGAACGTTCAAAACTAAATGGTATCTATGAATATATTATAAAACTTTTTCCATTTCATCATGAAAATAGCAAGATCGGCAAAAGTCTGTTCGACATGCTTTTGTCACTAAATGTTTTAAGTCTCACAACATTATGATAATATCAGAATGAACAAGTAACGCATCGGCTTCATGAGCCTTGTTTAGCTCACTGCTTAAAGCAAGTAAATATAGTATTTCACGGTGCTAAACACATTTTAAAATGAGACCGAAATAAAATCCAAGAACTTTTCTATGTGAACAAAATCATCAGGATGTATTGCAATCTTTTACCTCTACGATAGTTTATAGCTGGATATTTTCTGTCCGTAAAACACAGCTAACTAAGCTAGTACTGAGACGATTTTCACTAAGTTCCCTTTGTTGGAAATGTTCGACAATGTGAATATGTACTACATACTTTATTCTAAAATAAGAAGCTGTCAAGACTAGCTTGAATGATATAAAACATTTCATAATTTTCTGTGCTATTCCATAGCTTACAAGAACGAAGAGCAAGTATTTTTATTCTGAAGCATGGTTCACTTGTTATTATTACAATAAAAAATTGAAATATCACATGCTTCGATTTGCTTCAATGGCCTGTATTTTTTTGGTTAGTGCTAGAATATTTCATAAAGCTTTTTTTCATACTGATAATGCCAAAAGCAGTACAGGTAAGTCATATTTTTGGTCTCAATAAAAAGTTCACCCATCGTCAAATGAGAAAAACATATACGAGGTGTTTCATAGATATTTCTCAGTAGTCAGCTAAGTGAATAACATTAAGAAGTAACGAGAACCTATATAAATGATACTATATTGATGTATATAAAATATAGTTTGAAAAATAGTCACTATAAATCCTTAAAGCCGTGCCTCATAACTAAAAGACTAATTGCAGCTCTTTATGTACAGAACATCTACTTCTTTTTAAATTTATTGTTCCATTCTTGAAAATCTGAAGTTCTGTTCTGGACGATTTCCAGAATAAGTAGCTTCAAAAACCTGCTCTGTGTGCATCAATATAGCATTATTATTAAAATTCGTTTTTCTTTGGGTTTCTGGTGTAGATTTAAGCATGGGTTGATCACGTTGTTATTTTCTCTCATTCCTATCCACAGAGCACTCCTGAATCCAGAGTCAGAAAAGTAGCCAGATCTAGAACCATCTCGAGGTTCACACCAGCAGCCATCCCACACTCACGCATTTCACCCATACAAATACCCAACACACTTATACATCGCCACACCAACATCTTCTCAAACAGCCAGAATCAAGTCCACACCTACAACGTACATTCATATCTCATCCATATCAACACGCAACGCACGCACAGGCGAATCCTCAAATACACTCCACAGCCGCATTCACACCAACATTCAGATCTGTAAAGACATCCTCATTTCCTCTACACCCATACCCTTCCACAGAAGCCCGTAAGATGACTTTATAGCTCTGCCAGAGAAACTCAGTCTTGTGAGTACGTACAAGCGTGCATGGAGAAGTTTTTGACATACATGTATGTCTCTGTCGTTCTCTTGTATGTACGATACACATGCATATATGATTTTCCGATTACTGCTGGCATCGTCTATTGTGCCATTTCAATTGGGTCTCGTGGCCTCTCTGGTCACGTGCGAAGAGAAACATCATATAGAAAACTACATGGTATTCGAGTTTCTCTCACATACGAAATACGGTGCGAAACGAGGAATATCGATCATCGAAACAATCGATTTATCCTTTAATTATCTGTATGATTCATTCTTAATGGTTAGTTGTCGTTGCAACTGAAATGAACAAAATCAGCTAATCGAATAGATGAGTGTCTAACTCTTTACGCTGTCTTCATTTTAATCACCGTAAAGCTTGAAAAAGCGACAAAGTTCACAAAAAGAAGGAACTCGTTATCTATAAATGGGCTTAAATGTTATATCTAATGGTTTTATTTTTATCGCTTGTCCATTATCAACATACTATGTCATAAATTGTTGAGTGAGAACAACAGATAGTATTGAATCTTTCATTTGAAGAAAGACTTTTAGACATGTGTAGTTCGGATAGAGAAGATTTAATAGTTATTAATTCACGAGAGTAGTATGGTATTGCTACTCTTAATGTGAACACTTTGTGGACACCTTTTTATTGTCTATTACCTGTTTTTTTATGTATGATTCGATTGTTCAACTAATTAAGAAAACAATGACATCACGACACCAGCTTAATGTGAAAGAAAAAAATCAAATTACTTGATAAGTTAAAATTAAACCTAGTTAACATTGATATGACTTCAAAAACAGAAAAAACAAAGAACATCTTAGATAAGAACAGATGAATTCTAACATAAATAATCAGATGTTAAATCAAAACTAGTGTAAAAGCAAATATTCTGGAAACAGTTTCTTCATTCTACGGCAAACCATACGTCCACTCGCCAAAATATATTCCAAAAAAACCATATTCGATAAAAAACGAGTAATCGATTCTAGGATCAATGTCAAGTGTTATTTTTGGTCAAGGTGTGTACCCTATATTAGGTTTAGATGCTTCTCTCTCTATAGGAACTCTATCAAAGCGTATCGCCATATTTCTAAAGAACATTTTCGATTAATGGTTTAATTATCGCTATGATTCGTTATTTATTATTAGCTGCATTTACAGCTATTTCACATATGAGCATAGAGAGTGGTGCTTAACTTTTTGTCTGTTTTCGTTTTAATTATCTCAAAATGAAAAGATCGTAAACGTCTTCATAATTTGTAATTTTCAGACCATAACTCTGAGGGAACCGAAGTTGCTTTAGAGAAGAACTCCAAAGAAATTATTGGTTCGATCTCGATAGTTGAATCTCGCGTTTCAAAGATTATTTTCTGAGTTTTGGTTCTCGAGATTATCGCGTCACAAAATATAGACGTTGGATGAGTACGCGAAGGGCTACATAAATGCTGTGCATCGCATCGCATTAAAAATCTGTTAGACGTGCAAACAAAACGAAGAAATTTATTCAGACAAAAACAAATACAATTACAATTTCTTTTTCAAAATTTCAATTTTTCTTTTTGATTCTGCGATATCCGGATGATTTCGAGAGAGAATTTTTTCCTTGATATCAAGTGCTTTTTCGTAACATGAAAGTGCTTTGGAGTACTCTCTCAGCTTTTCATGCGTCAAACCAATGTTGTTGTAGGAAGTAGCCAAGTCGGGATGGTTCGAAGGGAGAGTTTTTTGGCGGATAGCAAATGCTTTTTCGTGCGACGAAAGTGCTTTGGAGTACTTGCCCATATTAAAATATACCCCTCCAATATTGTTGTAGGAAGAAGCCAAGTTGAGATGGTTTGGATGAAGAAATTTTTGACGGATATCAAGTGCTCTTTTGTAAAATGAGATTGATTTAGAGTACTCGCCCACGTTTTTATACATTTGACCCATTTGATCATTGTAATTGCCTCTATCTCTATCAGAAGATGCCTTTTCGATGAGGACCTGATAGAGTTGTTCTGCTTTTGCGGACTCTTCTACTTTAATAAGTATATGGGCTAGTTTAGGCCATCCTATTGCCCAGCTAGTCGCCTCACGTATTCCTGCCATGAATTTGTTTAAATCATTGTTGTCGTTACTCGCGAGAGTAAGATTGACTTGCCAAAGGCGATTAGTATGCTTGTCTTTGATTCGTTTAATTTGATCTATGCGAAAAATTGTGTGTGTTGAGAAAAGAATTTCTTCCTGTTGACCTTTGCTGTAGCTGATATTTTTGATGTCAGCAAAAGTAGTCGATGATGTTGTACAGAGTATCGGATCGATGGCCATAACAAAGAGTATGCCAACTGAATCAGGATTGACTGCTGCCGGTCGTGCATATTGTTCGAGCGAAATTTTACGATTACGATTTGTTAAAAGAAAATTATTAAAAGACATCAGTCCTCCTTTTGTTTGCTTCATTTTTTCAAAGTCTTGCATAGATAAACCTTGTCCTCGAAATACTTGGAAAGGATTTGTCGTTGTTGTAGTTGCAAGTTGTCGTTCACAATGTAATTCTTCAATATTTCGATGTAAGTGTCTAATGAAGAAACCCATTTTGAGTATAATATTGACATCTAGTAATCGAAGACCTCGATTAAGCATTGAGTTAATAAAATATGGAGCCGTATACCACCAAATGGGTGAATAACGATGATATTTTCGTTCAATCTTTATAATCTCGTCTTCAGGAATATCATCATGAATACGACAGTAATCAACAAGTTCTTTGGTGCATTTAGTGTCGTCATCATCATCAATTTCTAAAATAGCCTCTTTCAACAATTGCATGTACATAAACGACGGATCAATGCCACAAAAACTGATTGATATCGTAGCTTGATCACATCGTTCACGATCAATTTGTAGTGATTTAGAAATCGGTTCAATCTGTGTGTATATACCTTTTACCTTTGATATAGTTGTAGCCCATTGTTGATGAACAGATCGATTCTGACAGAAGACATAAATGGAATCCATTTGCGGCAACGCATAAATTTTCGGTATTAAATGACGTCCCAGTGAGCCAGATACAATCATAAATATTTTTTCGTTTTTAATTTTACTGATAAAATCAATACATTTTTGAGCATCTGTAAATATCGTTATGGATGCTACGATATGCCGCAGATGTTGTATTGATTTTTTAAATTCATGATTAAATTCATCCAAATTAGTATCGAGCCAGATCAGAAGAAAATTTTGTAGAACTCGATGAACATATCTGGGTACCAAGACATTTCTACTAGTGGTTTTTGCTGCCACTACTGTTGCATCTGACTCACCACTGACAGTAACAGTAGTAGTTGTGGATGATGATGATGATGATGATGATGTTTTGAGTTTCTTTGTAGTGAACGAGGAGGGTGAGCCACAGGCAAAGGTTGTTGTCAATCGTTTCTCGTCCATGACGGATGGATGAATGATAGTAATATGCACGATTTCTTTCTTCTATATATATTATTATTTCTAATTTTTATGGACACGTTTTTGGGTGATTGCTGTATAAGTGTGTGTTTTTTAATTGTCACGATAAGTATCTCTTTTGATTTATTGGCTTCAAGAGTGCTGATAAAGTGACGACGAAGTATCTGTACGTCAAAGAAGCAAGGAAAAACAAGAACGTAGATGCATGCATGAATGCACCGACATTCAACGAGAGAAAGAACAAAAAGTCACAAATAAAATAAATGAATATTGCTTTTAACTTCCCAGCTTTTTTTCCATATAGTAGTAGGTGTACCGATAGCGAGTAATTAGAGAGAAAATGGCAGGTCGCACAACATTCGTGTTTTGTTAATATTTTTCGTTCGAAACAACAAGAGTGAAAAGCAAAAAGAGGAAGACATTATGCTTTGATTGATTTTATCGTAGAATATTATCAAATGTACTAATGACTGAATGTCTGGTTTGAAATAATTATCAAAAGAAAATTATTATTATTATTTCTTCATATACTACTATATAGATATTCTATCAATTTTTTTATTATAATTTCAACTGAAATAAAGAGACTTAACTAAAAAGAGAATGCATACACATATTATACAAAAAAAAAAAGAATTACGAATAAAGTGTAGTAAGTAATAATGAAAAGCTAGTGAATCAGTTTGAAAAAACAAAAAACAAGATTATTTAATTACTGATTGTTTGTATTTTTTTTTAATTAAGTTTTTATATTATATGATGAGAATGATAAATAATTGATACTTTTATTTTAAATTAAGTCTTTTCTTGTATTTTTTTGAATAATTAGAATTATTTAACTCTATTAATATAAAAATTGCAAACATTTAATAATTAAGAAATCAATATTGCATTTTGTTGATTATTTAAACAATTCATAGAAAAAAAAAGAAGTAGTTGTTTTCTTTTGTTAAAATTTCATAATGAATGAATGGTATTTTAATTCTTGTAAATAACAAAAAACGAACGAACGATTTGAATTTGAAATCTTCTTTGATTGAATGAATGTACGATTATTAAAGCTTTTTTTTTTAAATTCATTTTGATATTCATTTATTAATGACTGAATTCAATTAAAACTTCTTGTTTGAGATTTTTATTCTTAGATAGATGGATGGATTGATTGTCTGGAAAATAAATAGACAGATAGAGAGACTTTTTTTTGAATGATTTCTTACGATCAATAGAATAGGATGAATGATGTTGATGATACATATGAAAATAGTTTAAGTAGCTCGGTCTTTTTAATTTAGAACTATGCTAGATGTCAGTTCGTTTTCTTGCTGTTGTTCATTTTTTTTAAATCTACTCATACAAAACTTTATTGGAAATCAATTTCTTAAGCATTTTTCAATATAATTACATATTATTTTATTATTATTATTTTTTTTTGTACTTCAAGTGTTTTTTACTTAATCAAATATGAAACATTTTATATTTAAATTAAAATTATTTTTATTACATGAATATGTTAATAATAAGTTCATTATGTATTTAAATAATGAATGCATGCAAAAGATAAATAAATGAATTCTTAAAATTCTTCATCATGATTTGAGACTCTGAACAGATTCAACGAATTAAAAATGAATTAAGAAATGTAATTGATGTTATTTGTTACGTAAGCAGGCGGTACATAGAGAGAAACATCAATTATATTTTTTTTTTACTTCAGTTTTAATTATGTCAGTGTCTTAATTAGATAGAAGTTTTTGTGGCCAGTATGGATGAAAATGTGAGTGGCGCTGAGATTATACTTTTGGATTACATTACACCGACACTTTCAAAAGGTTCCCATTCCAATGATGAGATTTGACGAGGCTGTTCAAACTATACCATTCCAAAGATGTTAATTAATTTTAAAAGACTTCATACTGAATCATGAATCTCTGAGCAAGGAAAAATAGGTTTTTTTAAGAAAGTCAAATCAAAACTGAACAATAAGTAAAATAAATTTGTTTGATTTAATCATTATTCAAATGTTTTCATCATTCATCTATTTATCCGATATTTTCCAGTCAATTAATTTATTTGTTAGATGCAACATAAATCAAGGTTTCATAATTGACCTATGTGGAACAGTTTTCTAAAATTTGATCTGAACAATATATGCAGTCGGCACATTCTTGCAAATTTCCTTGCAAAGTTACAACTATTACAAAAAAAAACACATTTTCAGCAATTTTTTGATAAATTTTGTTGTTTGTTTAGTGTTTTGTAATGTTGAGGAAAAGAGACGATTCGCCATATTGTTCAGAATTTTGTGCTCTTTCAGAATGTACTAATAATATAGCACGTAAATGGCAGTATGCGGCTAAATTACAGTTATTTTCGGCTTGGAACAAGTGACCGTATACGATAGGCATTTAAGTGCTATAACTATGCTGTATTTATATTGCATTATTAGAGCGTCCAAAACTTCACAATTAGTCACTATGTTCTTTTAGACAATCAATATATACTCTGGAGTATTATCTGAAGCTACAAGCCTTCCATAACTTAATGTCTCGAGGAGAGCTCCTATTGAGATCTATCTGATGCGCTCAACCATATCGTTTAAAAGTATCTATGGACTATATTTCATGACTATCCAATTAAGATAAATACACTATTTTTCTTCAAATTAATTTCCAAACAAGTATACAACGGTAAAAGTTAGTTTAAAAAAATAAATCATATATATTTATGAGAGGAGGATGTAATAAAATGTCACTCTCCTCTCTTCAATGAGAAAAAATTCATGTGAGTGCAAGAACAAACAATGGTAAACGGTCGTTTACAGCTTGTATGCAAACATTGTAATAAAGCACTTAGAATGTAACATCGAATAGAGAAATTCATTTACTATTTCGATTTTTAGTAATGCTAAATCGAAGAATTCTTAAATTGCATTCCGTAGGACAACCTAAGCGACGATTTCCGATAGAATTTCATACGATGATATTCAATTAAACATTTGGATGATATACGTTGTTGGATCATCTTTCTTCTCGTACAATTAGCTGAACATTAACAATTTAAGTATATTTTATTTATAACATTCAATTTCTCAATAATAAAACTAAAATGAAGAAAAAAAAAATAGAATCAATAATTTTTACTTCCTGTTCATTCAGTTCAATAGTTCTCTTTGACATCGTAAACACAGTCGTTTAGGAGCCTGAATGTTCCTTGTAGGAGAATCGAAAGTATCTTCCCGTCGTCATAGAATGTATTCAAAATATGTTTCACATATTATCTAATAATCATAAAAACTAAAGTAACACATTTTAGTATTATCGGATTGATTTCGACTTGGATAAGTCCTAAGCATGACAGAAAAAATAAAATCAAAACTACTTCTATTTTCTTAGAATATGGAGCAGTACTGTAAGTTTATTTTTTTTTTATGCTTAGCAGAGACATCTGTCCTTTTTTTTCCTCATTCAGTAAATTGATATCTACATGTCTTTTCTCTCCTATGAGGTAAATAGACATAACGTAGGACGACAACGACATTTTTTTTCTTTTATTCATCAATCTACCAATTAAAAAACGTTGCATATAAATTATTGAGTTGAGAAAACAATAATAACAATTATTGTAACTTGTTTTTTTAGATACTTTAACAAGCAAAAAAGAAATGCATTCCGAATCAAGTTCTGGTAAAGATAAAGAAAAAATTTATCCATCATATACAGAACTTCGTATATATCCATCATTTTCTGAAGTTCGTGAAAAATTCCATGCACCACAGGTATACAAAAAATTAAAAATTAATTTAAATAAAAAAAAAAAAACTTTTTTTTCGTTTTTTTCTTAAGAATTTTAAAATGTACTTTCCACGTGAAGTATATGATCAAATTGTAAAAGGAAGTCTTAGTGTTGAAGGCATTGATGTTAGTAGTCAAAATAGTGTAACAAAAGCAAATAATTTAGAAAATCAAATTGTTTTTATTCGTCGTCCACGTGAATCACCTATTGAATGTCAAGTTATTCGTTCAAATGATTTATTATTAAAAGATATTAAAACAGGTCGATATATTCGTGCTCAAAATCATGAACTTGAATATGTTAATGTTCCTGAAGAAGAAGGTACTGAAGTTACTTTTGCATTAAAACAACAAGGCGATGCAACACTTTCATATCTTATTAATGGTAAGCACTGTTATTTATTCTTATTTCGTAAATTTCTTTTTTGTTTTTTGAAAATGTGAAAAGGAATTCAATGGTCACCAAGATATAATTTAAATGTTGAAAATGATAATCATTCATTTGACGCATGGGCCGATATGACAAATAATACAAAACGTGATTATCAAATAAAACGTACGGAATTATTTGGTGGTGATGTTCATTTACAACAAACTGCGCATCATGTTCGAAGATTTCATCCTCAATCTTGTTGTATGAAAGCATGTTGTTGTGATTCAGGTTTTGGTGGAGCTCCAACAATTGAATCTGAAGGTGAATTAGCTGGAATTTATTGGTATTCAATTGATCAACCATTTATGCTTATTCAACAATCAACATTTTCACTTCCATTTGTTAAACCAATAATTAATTTAGAAAAATATGCTGGTTTAACAAATTAT